TTCCGTCCTATTGAAGCATGCTTACCCCTCCTTGGAAGACCTGGCCCCGAAATTTTGCTCCGTGACCCGTGGTCAAGAGCCCTAGCGCGCGGCACGCGGCCCTTAATTCTACAGCAATGGGTTTGTCACATCCCGGCTTTTGGATCAACAAGGATGGTGTGAACGATAGGTACGAGCTCCCTTTTGGCACAGGCGTGGCACCGGTACAGCTGCGCCGCCGGGCGGTTGGCGTCGCCACGCCCCAGCGTCAAGACAGCTGCAGTCTTGTTCGCCTTGGACTAATGGAGTTGCCGGATGAGTCGGCAGGAACGTGCATCAAACACAAATGGATGAACACAATCACACTATGCTCGCCCTAGCCAAACCAAGCCTGAGTCTCGGCCTTGTTGACCTTTTTTGGGGATTCCAGGCTTTACTGAGGCAGTGAGCTAACCGCAACCCTCGGTCAGGCTCCGCCTTTGTGAAACAAGGACTCCAACCAACGTGGCCAAGATCAGAAGCAATTCTTGACGAACACACTAAACCCAAACACTGATGCCTTCACGCAAAGGTCGGGCCTGAATATGAGGCTAATAGAAAGCAGGAGTTGGCTCCTCACCACCTGATCCAACAAATATCTCAGAACAACTAAAAGGACACCTTTATCAAAAGGATCAATATGGGCAGCCGGCGACCACTCGATAGTCACTAAGGGGCGCTTCTAGACATGTCCACTCTCTGCGCTCACTCCGCAACCCACATTTGCGTAAATCGACCAGGCACCTTGACCGCTGAGTAGGAAAGAGCAGCCACCTTGGAGGACAAGAAAAAGGATTGGTGGCATGGGGCAACATCCCCCAAAATGACCCGTCAAGCGGCAGCTAGACAGAGAAAAGGGTTCTTTTAAGGGTGCGAACCCCAAGGGTCATCCTTCTGAGAACTGCCCGCAGGCTAACGATCCAAGATTGTGAGTTTCCGCCTGGTGAAAGCAATAAGTTGGGCCATTTCCGAGTTTGCCCAACGTTGAGGCTCTCCTACTTTTGCGAGGCCCGTGCTGTGGTGCAAGGTTGCACAACTGCCTGTCAATAGCCAACTGCACGAGCCCTGTGCACACCTTTCACACCCTGAAGATCAATTGGCCAATCTATACCTCCGCATTCTGGTCCACCTTTGGGAAGTTGGCCCAGGATCACCATACAGTACCCGGAATTCACATGAACAAGCCGCTGAGTACTGAATTCAAAGGTACTCAGTGTCGTCAAGTGACTCAATTCAATTCACAGGAAGCCCAGCCGCTGATCTTTTTGGGCCATCTGACCTACCTTGCATTTAGTCATTTCCGGGCTTGACGATTCTCCAAACCACAAATCTCATCAAAATATGCCAGTGATTCCCAGTGTCTTGGGGGTGAGCCAAGCGGAAATCCTGCTGCTGCATCGCTTACTTTTAAAAACCCTACACCCGTCCAAACCACCACTCCCCACCTAGAAAAAGGAAGCCAAACCCTTCCTAAAGCATCCTAAAGCGGGTTGATTTTTGCTGGTTTTCTTCGTCCAGGGTTACCCACCTACCGATCTTGTCCTTCCTGTGGCCCCCCATCAACCCCGGTGCAAAACGTCAAGCGTCCAAGAGCAGCTTGCCAACCCCGCGCCCTCGAAACGCATCCTCCGTGCAAAGAAGCTCAATGAGCACCCAGCTGTCGGGCGGGGTGCCTGGGCTAAGTAGCCGGCCAAAGGGAAGGGGCGGTGGAGTTGGCTTGGACCCAAACAAATCCTGAGGCGCCCCCTACCATGCAAGTAATAGAAGTGCCCTCTTGTGCAGAATGGATAGGTTCATGCTAGTTCGCATTGCCATTCCTTCATCCAGACCGCATATCGACAACAAATATAGTAGCCATAAGCAATGTAGGACCCACCTTGCCCCAACCCAAAATATGCCAAAATTAAAGGGCTGCTTGAAAAGGGATCTTCCTCAATGTTGGGTCAAGGTGACAAGGATGCGGGTGTCTGAAAAATGCCTCCCGTCCCCTCCTGAGCTTCCACCATCTCAGCCAAGCAGCGAAGCGCCAAACGCCCAGCTCCTGTGCACCGATGCTTGTTCCACATGTAAGCTCGACGATTCTGCACCATCACCCCAAACAAAGTCTCTGGATATACCGGAGCATTTGTCACCTGAAGTGGTGTAGGATCGCTCCTAACAAGACTTGGTGACAGTGCCCTCCCAGACTGCCGAACTGCTGCGAGCCTGCATCTGGTGCGTTCCCTCTGCCTCAGCCACAGGTGCTGACGAAGGCTGGTAGCTTCGCTCAAGAATTCTTTTGGTGTGGGGCCACAATGATTCACCTAACGAGAGGTCTTTCCCCCTGTAACAATCACCAACCTCCACATCCACATCATTCACCCTTCTCATACTCTTTTCTCAACGACCTCCCTATCCTTCGCCTCCACATCTCCCCTGGTCTCTCGATTTTACCGCTCGCCTGTTTTCCGAACTCGCGGGCCCAACGCCTGTACGGATCGGTGGTTGGCTCGGTTCACCGTTCCGCCTCAACGCGACTTGAAGCCATACTTCTTTCCTCGGTTTTGGTGGGTGGGCTGAAGGGCTTTTGGGCGGTTGGAGGTTGGAGTGGTGTTGTTGCGTGGAACCCCCCTCTAATAGCAAGTCTTGTGTCTATATGTTTCTTTGAGGTTCTTCAGTAGGGCCGACTCGAGCCGACTCGAGTCGAAGAGCCCAAAGCCTTGGACTGTATGAGAAAATCAAAGCAAAGCCACCTAAGCCTAAGCCCACTCCCGTGACATGCCACTCATCGAACCGAAACCCCTGAAAACCATGCAGAACACAACGTGAATCACTTGAAGTGTTTTGATTTCCGTTGTCGCTGTAAACGGCTACGGTACTTATTTGTATGTCTGAAGAAGCTTGATTGCGTTCCCATCCTGGAACCAACGCCCTCCTGGCCCGATGCGTCCTCCCCCTGCAGACAGGAGACGCTCGTAGAAGAGGTCTGTCCGTGCTGTGCCCAGGTTCACGATCTTCGGGCACCCGTCCCGGTCCTTCTCGCATTGGCAGCACTCCTGGAGCCCGTCCCCAACTTGGCACCGGCGTTTTCCGTGCCTCAAAGAGACCCTCTACCCACCACACTGGAAGTGTTTGCGAGGGACCTTATAGTGGCCCACTTTCCTAGTGGCTTTGCGGTACTAAATTAAAACCAAGCAAACAAAACCAGACCTTTCCAAACCTTGGTCGCCTCGCTCATGCTTCAAAAGCGACTGCTCTGTGCGTCCTTGCAGTAGAAGGCATCCGAGATACCGGCACCCCCGCAGATGACACAGCGGCCCTGATAGCTTCCATAGTTGCACTCATCACACACACGCGCCAGCTGCGAGGGGCGCACGTAGGAGTCGCAAATCACACCTGCGACATGGCCACCAGGTTGGGGCTGAGAAACTGACCATTGAGGACCACCGCGGTCAATGAGCTTTGTTCAGGGTGGAGGGATCAAGCGGAGTTATCCAAAACGCTGCAGAAGCAAGGCTCATTTCAAAACTAGGCTTGCCGCGTTCTTGAGTCCAATATGGTTGGCATTGCTTGGGGCACACCATATCATGTCATCACCGAGGGGAGTCCATGGAGTCCGGGGGAGCCCGTGGAAGCGGAACTCGGCATAGCGGAGCTAGGCATCGCTACGAACGGAGCGATCGGACGCTACTAAGTTACTATAGAACGGGGCTCCTGGCCTTACTACGAACGGAGCAAGAAGGCTGCGAACGGGGCTCCTGGCATCGCTACGAACGGAGCAAGAAGCTACTATACTCTTTCTATGTTCACCCCTGTATTGTGTGGAAACTGGTGGAAAGAGTCTGGCAATGGTTTCAATCTAGGCACACTTCCCGTCACACTTCTCACAAAGACGGCCAATGGCGATGCCACACTGCTTGCGGCACATGATGAGGTCCGGATGATGCTTCGCCATGGCTTCCCTCCGGTGGGTCGGTGCACCGTGACTATAACTCTGCTTGGGCCGAAGATCGTCCAAGCACGAACAAAGCGAAGCGTTTACCGAAGCGTGAACGAAGCTTCCAAGAAGAACCGGGTTTGGTTCGTGCCAGAGAAGTCACTGGAAGGCTGTGACTGGCCAAGTCGATCCTCTGTGACCTTTGAAGATGCCAAGCTTGACGCCTTGATGACTCTACGTACACTCGGATGGTTTGCCGTCTACCCCGGCACAGCCCCAACAACCCTAACTCTTTCACCAAGTTGCCCAAGTCGACCATGACGTGGTGCCAGAACTCATCGTCCGTGGAGCGCAAATATCTCCAAAAGATGAGTCCTACCAGGCGGCCACCTGGGGCACTCCGTGTGTTGGGTTGGGGTGGAGCTCGCCAACAACACGCCAACACCAGGGCCACACGGGAGGTGATAGAGTCCAACTTTGGGTAGGACCTTGTGCAAGATAAATTGTGCAACTCTGCCATGGTTGTCGGATCATCGCAATATTCGACATAGATTCTTGAGGGGATGGGTCCGATTCATGTTCTGGAAATGCCCCAAGCATGCAAACAGAAATGCTCTGCTTTGAAGACGTATATGATATGCCAACTTTGCACATGTTCCATGCTGAGGAATTGAATGCCTCTACAGTGTGCAGTTCTCTCACATGTCATCGCTCTCACTATCTTTCTACATTTGAACATGGCCATGTGAACAATAGGCGATTGATCGAGTGCAGTTGATGAATAACTTGAAAAAGCACCACTTGGATGAGCCATGAGCCCATGAGTTGCATCAGCGCCCCAAGAAATGGGGACGAGTCTTGGAACCTGCTCATGCCTCTCAGCAGTTGCCTCGAACCGAATATAACTCCCAGAATGCAGAAACCGTGCAGAGGGACACGTTGAAATCGTGAGAAAGTGTTTAGTGTTATATAAAGCTATATAGATTCGGTCCTCCTTGTGATTGCCTCTTCTGATTGCGCCACGGAAAACCATCTACCACCTCATGACCTTGGAAGCTCGCCAGTGTCAGGGCTGGCGCTCTGGGCATGGCATCCACCAGGTCCGCTTCACCGACGCCGCCTGGCTCAGCAGCCGCCTGGCCCTCGGCTCCCCCCCGCAACCGCCTGGCTCCGTGGCCGTGAGCAAGAGAAGGTCATCGCCGTAGTCCTTCTCCTCGGTCGAAGTGATCGCCGTAGTCGTTGGGGACATGTGGCCCACCCCCCTTGCGTCGCACGAGTGGGGCAAAACCAAACCACCAAAAAACATCAACTCTGCAGAAGAAGTGTTGGACAGGAAGAAGGACAGGAATCTCGGTGGTGCCATGCATGTTCTACATCAACCCCAAAAATACAGCAAGGATGAACGCTGTACAGACTGTAGCTAAAGATCTTGGATGAAACAAGCTTGGGAGGAAACACTCTTGAAGTCCCAAGATTGATGAAAGCAAGCACAACAGCAAAAGCATACAAAACACACTCATTCTAATACTGTGTACTCATCTAGCTCATTCTACCCTAAACGCCTTTGGGAAGCCGTCGCTCCCCAACCAATCGCAAGTGTGGAAAGCAAAAAGGTCAGACCCGTCTGGATGCCAAGGCACGATGAACTGCTCCAAAAGGAGTTCCTGTCCAACATTTATTGAGGATGAGCCACGTAGTCATTCAACAAATTGCCTGTTTCGCTCCAAACAAATCCAATCCAAACTGGTGTGCAAATGGAGATTTCATCAGCCAAGCATTTAATTGTATGTATGTAAGTGTTGGTGAAAGGGTTAAAATGATGGAATGGAGGAACTTCAAAAGGTTCAAGATTGGGGCAATGGATGCTGCGTTTGGCTAGAATCATGCACATGTTTACAGTACACGAAGAAGAAGAAGAAAAAGAAGAGGAAGAAGAAGAAAAAGAACCAATGGGCCTTGGGATATGACTCTAGAGCATGCCTTATTTGTTGCTCCAGCGCTCATCCTTGGAAGTTTGTGCACTTCTTGTTCTTTGGATCTTCGCCATTTCAATCCCCACCAGCGGCCTCCCTACCGGCCTGCATCCCGCCCATGCCCGAGCGCATGCCGGCCACTTGCCGCCTTAGGCGCGCAGCCTGAGAGTCAGCTTGGGTGGCTCATCTGAAGGACTCGCAGCTCACCATCTCTCAAAGTATGTAAACCTCTCTCAAGGGTCGGGTGGTCTGTGGGTGTCTCCCGACTCTGTCTGTGGACACGGAGAAGCCCACAACAGGGAAAGACATCTGCGTGAGTAAACCGATGGCATGCTCAGATAGTGCAAAGAAGTGGTCCCTTTTCATCGACAACTTAGAATAAGGCATCCAACTACTGTGCTTACTGTGCTTCACAGCAAGCAATGCCTGACTTGCCTCCATCCACGGTTCTACCAGGTCTGGTAGAACTACATCTACGGTCATCTCTGAAAAGAGCTCTAGGGTCCATCCCCACACCGGCGCCTGCTCAGGGGTCTCCAGTGTAATGCAGAGTTGTAGCTCATCTTTGGAGCATGGAGAGTTGAAAGACTTCTTCCTGACAGATGCAGCAGCCCTTTGGAGCTGGCCCTGAATCTGATGCCATTCTTCCAGAGTTACAAACGTACGAAGAGACGCCCTACGAGTAGAGTGTCTCAATGAAAAACAGTGTGCCCCCCGCACGGGCCTACCAGCTCAGTGGAAATACAGCCCACCCTTGCTGAATGACTTTCTTCATGACGAAAGCGGTTCCCATGGACTTCAGGTGCAGCTCTAGTAGCAGCTACCGCCGACGATGCTCAGTCTGTCCTCAAAAGGTGCTGCCCCGGGCGACGATGCTCTCGCACACGCTCCACAAAGGGGAGTTGCTGGACCGAGGAATGGTGGCTCCTGCGCCAGAGCCCGAAACACCCCGACCCCGACTCATCTTCACATGGGACACCCTTTGTTACCATGAAAATCATCTTCCAATGACATCCTTGGTTTGACTTGCCCTCTTCAAAGGTGATGAAGATGTCTTGCTTGGGTGCCGCGTTGCAGGGGTCCGTGTTAAGGCTTCAATTCTCCTCTCTCCACCCTGGAAGCACAACAAGCAAATAGGCTTGTTGCCAATACTGTTAGCATCCCGTGTTGCATGTGAATCCATGAGCGGGAAGCTCTCCACATCCGGAGCAACTCACCTAGTCCTTCGGCTAGTTTCGGACCCAGTCCTTGGAGCCTTTTGAAACTGATTGATCTAAAAGCTTTGGTTAGCTATCTCCTTCTCATGGAGGTACCCTCATTCTGATTCTGGTGGAACACTCCCACAAACCTCCCCGACGCAGCGCAGATTCATGTCTCCGCCTCGGCGGTGCAGCAAACCAATCATCGTAGCCCTCCTGGTGGCACGAAAAACGCCCAGCAATGGTTCGAAACATCTTGTTTTCAGACCACCACGGTGATGAAACGCGGCAATGGTTGGGTTGCATCGAAGACCGTCATTGATGCGATGAAGACGTTTCCGGCTTGCCCGGCTCGGCGAACGCATTTCATCCACCCCCCCCGAACTGGACGGCATCCGGAGGTGCCCAAATCCACCATGCTCCCCGATGGCAGCCTTGGTGTTCCTCCCCCCCTCATGTGCTTTTGATCCCCCTCCTCCTCATCAAGGGGCAGCAAGAAGCGGTGGCTCAAAGGTTCCATTGCGGATTGCAGAGCCGGAATCCAAGAGGCCCATGTAATTGCAGTGGTGGAAAAGCCATCGACAAAAACGGTGTCTTTCTTCGGAACGGGTTCTTGAAGGACTTGGCGCGTGATGAAGCCAGAGACCCAACTTCCAATGAGCGATAACTTAGAGAACCACAAATGGTCTTGAAGTTCCACCACCAATGTTCTGGCAGGCAAAGCGTTTCCGCCGATGTGGCCCAGAGTGTGTGTGTGTGTGTGTGTTTGCGTGTTTCGCACGTCTCAGTCTTCATGTCATAGCGCAAGGGCTCGAGTCCCGCCCATGTCCCGCCCTGTCGATCTGTCGTCCGCTTGGTCTAGTGGTTGCCTGTAGTTTGGCCGGCGTGATATCTCTGCGAACCAGCAAAGAGGCCACCACAACATACTCAACTGCTCTTTCAAGAGGGCCATTGAAGATAGATCCTTTCAGAAATGAGAAGCTGAAAAAGGAAGCCTAGTCTTGCACCAGCTGGGGCAAAAGAGCTAAACATGTCAAACTCCTTCACAATGTCTAAAAGTCGGGCACCGCGGCCAATCCACTTGCAGAGCTGCCCTCTAAGAAACCTCTCTGGGGGCGCGGACAGGAGCCACCCAAGCGGAGACTTTGCCGCTCATGATCTTTTCCTGTGTCGCAACAAGCCTAAGGCATTCCCATCTAAAAACATGCACATAAACGATACTGGACATTGGCACGGAAATATACCGCTCTATAACTCTTGTTCACTTTGAGAAACACAAAACGTATATAGCGTTGGACCGTTGGACATTGCCGACTTGAGATCTGGTTACCCATGGTCACCACCAATCGAAGGTGACATAATTCAAGACCTAAACGATGGGGAGACCACCCTGGTTCTCGTCTCATCTCATCCACTACGAGTAGGGCCTAGGGCCAGATCATCACGCAGCCTGCTCCCCCGTGGGCAGCGCCCCACCTGCCCCTGCGCAGCGCCCTTGGTCTTGCGCCTGAGTCACCAAGTTGGGTTTGTGCGAAACTAGCTCCATTCTGCCGTTCATTGTGTTTTTTGGCCACTTCTGCCCCCAAAACAGGAATCTACCCAAATTGCTTCGAAGTCCGCGATTTTGACCGGGGCTTGCTAGTCATCGTCGGATTCTCCGAAGATTGACGTGAACAAAGGCTTGGGTGGGCGCGTCAGCTCACCGCTGGCAGCCACTTCCAAGTTTGGAGCAGGATTTGCAGTTGGTTGGCTCTGTGCCTCCTCAGGCTTGGGCTTCCCCTCTTTGGCCTCCTTGGCCTTCACCTGGTCATTGTAACTTCGCTGCTGCTTCTTGGGCTCATTAGCTGGGCGATCGCTGAAGCCACTTGGCCTTGGCTCTGGCACATTCCAACGCCTGCAAAGCAGCTTGTCAGGCACCCACGGTGTGACTGTCCTGCGAACCACAGGGGCTGAAGCTGTGCAAGTCTTCTCCTCCAAGGCTTTAGCAATATCTTCCTGGTTGATGGTTTCGACCCCAAATCTATTAGGGATGTGATCGCCCTGTTGGGACTACACTTCCTAAAAGCCCTCAAGGTTCCAAACAGTCAAACATAAAGGAAAAACAAAAACAGTAGTAATAGAACTGTTTGGAATCTTGATCTGTTCTTAATGACCAGCTTCATTCGGATGCTGCTGCCTGAAGGACCGGTAGACGCGGCCAAATTCCACAACCTCGCTTTCGCGTTGTGCCTCGCTGAGGGACGGCTCTGCCTGGAGCGCTTCGGAGAAGGCTGCCTTCCCCTCCATGGCCAAGCAGAACTTGGCGTAGCGCTTTTGTTTGCTCGGATCCTCAGGTCTTCTTTGGTCAGACTGGAAGAGATCATATCTTGGACTTGCTTGGAGGACGACCTCTGAAACCCTGGATCCAAGAAAGAGTGCTACATTAAAGAAAATATACTGTAAGGTATAATTGGCTCGGCAAGCAGCACTCTTGAAGGGTTCATGTCGGGCAGCTTTGCCATCCATATCCTGCGTGGCACCCACCACAAAGTTTCTCCCCAAGGCGTTCAGCAGATTCTGCTTCTGGTGCTCCGGCACCGCTTGCCACAGCGGCTCCGCGGACCGTTGCGCCGCAGTCGCGGCATCCACCGGAGCTGCCGCTGGTGCCGCCGGAGCCGCGGCGTCCGGTGGGATCCGGGTCTGCTCGCCCAGGAGTTGCGCACGGAAGGACGGATCCATGAGCCTCTGCCGGCCATGCTTGTCTTGAAACTCCAGCAGCTTTCGATGCTCCTCGCTCCCTTAGTGTGATCAACAATGGTTGGGGGCCGGCCAGATGCCAAATTCCCCCAAAATTGGGTCCGCCTGCCCGGCAAAGACTGCTATTATAAGGGTTGGATTTGCCCCGGACCTAAAGCCAAGTAATTAGATGAAAATCCCCTGCTTGTATCAATCAAGCTTCCCTCCTGTGCTTCCTGCAAGGGAGATACATCAATCAGGTGGACTCCTTTGTATTGACGCGGCACCGGTGGTGGATGCCACCGAGAGAAGTCCGAAGGGTCCCGGTCTGGCCGCTCCGCCTTCACAAAGCCAGCGACCGTGGACACACCCGTCACCTGTGGGCCATTCTCCAGGGCATAACGGGCCTCCTCCTCAGGATACATCTCTTCTTCAACCAGAACACGACTGTTGCACTGTTGCTGGGCAAAAGCTGTGAAAAATCATCTGCCCCAGCTGGGAAGATGTTAAAGTTAGAGAAACCAATGATGTGAGTGATAAGGACAAAACAAAACAAAAACCGTTCGTCCTCCACTGACTCATCCTTCAAAGCCGCATGGTAGTGCATGCGTTTATCGGTTTCATGCTCGTAGACTTCCTCCCAGGCATCATACTCATCCTGGTCCAAAACTCCAGTTCCGAACTGCGAGTAACCGATGGCTTTTGTGGTTGAGGCCATGTTTCTTCCACGTGCATTGGACATGTAGAGTCTGCGATTGCTCGGGATCGCAGAGCCCAAGCCTGCTCCCAAGAAGTAACCAATTCCCTGCAAATCATTCTTGCAGTGCCACAGTCGTTCCAGCTCAGCCTCCAAAGCTGGTTCCATCGAAGGAGCCTGAGAAGAATGGAAGTCTGCAAGCCTTTTCCCTTGCTCTTCGACCTTGAAGCCCAAGCTGCCCTCTGCTGTTTCTCCAGCCCTGTAGCCTGGAGGTGGCGGAGCACACCCATAGGATTTTTTTTTGGGTGCTGTATCGCTGGCTGCCGAGTTGGGCACATCCTTTTGACTTGGAACAGGCACAACACTGGCACGCAGGAGACGGGTACCCAAGCGGTTGGCACCGAAGAGCTCTTCTTCCAAATCATGGGACACACCCGTGGTCAACGCCGCTGAACCCGCCTTCCCACCGGCCGAGTCGTTCCGGGCTGCAAACTCATCGCGCGCAGTGATGGTCTTGCGGGAGGAGCGATGATCTCGCAAGTCTTCTTCATCCATGTAGTCTTCAACTCGAGGAGCTGCATCTGCATGGCGCTTGCTTCGGCTAGAGCTGAAGGAGGCAGGTTCCCAGCCTTCCTTGCTCCCAACTGTGTTCCAATATCCAGCACTGAAGCCACCTTCAAAGGCACCGTAGAAGGTACGCTCGCCACGGGCCTTGGCAATGGTGCCGTCGGGGCGCTTGACTTCAACATATCTCTCGCGTTTCGAGCGCTTGCCCAGATCATCTAGCTCGTCCACGTCGTATCTGGCAACAGCTTGACCCAGAAAAGACTTGGCACTTGAAGGAGGAGCGCCATGTTTCGTGCTTGCTCTCATGGCCAGTGCAAACTAAATTGAAGCTGTCCATATATAGGAAATCTTTCAAACGCTATACTGTAGCTATAGAGTTGCATTGTTAAAACACTCCCATTTTGAAAGCTTTCAGGGATAATGCGGTTGGAGAGCTTTCAGGGACTTAGCGGTTTAACCGCAAATAATTACACAATACACATCCGCAAACAAGCATCTGTCCTCCTCTGATCCAACTAAGAAAGGACAGGTTGCGGCAGTGTGAAGATTCGCTCATTTTACTCCACAACTCTCTGCCAGTCGCTGGCCATTCAAATCACTGCAGTGGATGAAAAGGACACCTGCTGGGCCTTGCCAAGCCTCAAAGACCAAATCCCAAAGTTCAATTGCCCAAAACGGCCAAACAGATTGATCTTCCCTGGGCACCTATTCAAATGCCTGCACCCAAGCCACGTGATAGCATCCCGCAAGGTTTCTTCCGATGGCTTTCCATCTGACAACCTTCAGGCATTGCGCAAGATCAAGGTGTGCAACCACTTCCAGATTCCCGAAAAATTTGTGTTAGTTCTACAGTACTGGTAGAGATTGCATCTACCCCCCCCCGGACAAACTCCCGAATGAAAGCTGGCTCATATACAGAGACCCAAACCATGGCACGGGCCTTGCGGCGTCTGTCTGGTGCAAACAATAAACCCTCCCCTGCAAACTCATCCACAGCTTGACGTGAGAAGCCCCACCAATTAATGTTCTTCCCTAGTCACCTAGTCCAGTTAACAAGCCTTGCCAAGCACCAAACCTCAAATGATTCCCAATAATATCGGATAATATAGTATAATATATGCTTATGCTTGATGTGTCATCCTGAGCACGGAATTCCTCCGTGGAGGCGCCTGAAACTCATGCGTTGGCCCGTGCCACACGCGAAGGCGGCTTGCTGCAATCGTTGTACCTGCTTGGCTCCGTGGCAAAGTGGCAAAGAGTGCAAACGAAAATCATCTTGCAATGTTCTGCACTAAACTTTTAGAGTGGGAGAAGAGAGAAGAAATCCAAGTGAACTTGGGTCTGCCTTGTTTCACCGGGCCCAAAAAGAGCCGCAGTCCCGTGTTTTGGACATTCCACCGTCCTTTTTCTCCCTCCGCCGGTGCTCCGTGGACGACGGCGCGAGGGCCCGGGGCCTCTTCGGCCCCACAGTGATGCAGTGCGATGTTCGGTCCGATGTCAGGGTGTGACCTGGTGTGACCTCAAAAGGTGACTTGGTGACCTCTCTGTGACCCAGCTAGTCCCATCACCTTATGAACTACTTACGGTGTTCAGCGAGCTGTTTAGAACCTTAGAACCTAGCCCCACCCTGATCCTGTGCTGGACCTCAGAGCTGTCCAGATGACCCCCCCGGCTGCCATTTGACCATAGCCGCTGCCGCAATAGCCACCGCAATATTGGAAGAACAGCATGACCTTTATAGATGCACCGAGCTCACCGCGTCTCAAGAAAAGCTTTATTTTGTTTAAAGTAGTCAACGTCAACGTCGAGGGACAAGAAGTATCCAAATTGAAAAGGCTACATTGAAAAAGCTACAGACATGAGCTGAGCTTCCACAACAAACGGCACGATACAGCACATTCACAGGTGCTTGTGACATGATGCATGAGTTGCGCTTGAACCAAGGAAATCATGCCATTCATAACAAACACTCTCACACACAAAGGTAGATGAACATCATGTTCCAGCCCGCACATACATATATGCCTCATTCAGACTGTCCCCCTCCAGGCTCCATTCAAGTGTGGCAGAAACAAAAAGCTGCTGAGGTGGAAACACCAAGGCACAAGCGCCAAAAGACTCAGGCATGAGCCCAAGATGATGTAGATGACCGACCAAATGCCTCCGAGCCGCGTGCAGCACGCATCATCAACACCACAGACAGACTCGTCATGCGCGAGGGAGGGCTTCTTGGACCCGCCCCCCATTACATGACCATGCCCAAACACATCCAAACACCCATAACCAATGAAATCGGATGAAAGAAACTTACCCGGTACCCCAAAGGCTGCTTCATCGTCAGTCGGACCGTCGACGGCCAGTTGGCGAACTGGTACGCACCCACTTGAGGACACAAAGGTTGAGCTAAGCCCGCGTCTTGTCGGCCATGCCTTCCGGAAGCATCAAAATGGTCATTGAGCCGACATAGAAGTAGAAGAACGCTTTCCCAGTGGGCGTTGCTAAGAAGAAGGCACGTTGGAAGAGCTTTGTTTGAACGTCACCGCAGGCCCTCATCCAGTCTTCTTTCCCATCGCAGATGCAAATGATGACCTTACCAATCACAGAAAGGGACACACAAAGCCTGACGGACGAGAAATGACGAGAAGCCTTTCCTCTAGAAACCCCAAATCCTTTCAAAATGACCTCGAACAACGGACAAATGCGCATAGCATGTGCCATTTTTGCGCATAAATAGCCAGGCATCCCCGAAGAAGACGTTGTAGATATTGGCCAAGTACTCCCCCGGTCGGCTGAAGGCTCCGAAGGGGTTGATCACGCCCAAGATGCTAAAGATCATCAAGATCAGCCCAATGAGGAAGCACAGGGTCTTCACGCTCGAGGGGTTCTCCACGATATACGCCTGCGGGAGAGCTCGAAGAGAACGCATGCGTGGGAGCCGGTCCCATGGAGCCGGCTGTTCTGCCAGTGTGTGGGAGGTAGTAGTTTTAGCATGTCCCCCCATCTGTACAGATCGGCATCGTGGGACATGGTGATGCTAGCCCAAAAGAAACACTTTCTCACAACTGGGCAAGTGGGTTGTCATAGAATGATGGGGTACGACTGGGTAATTGCGGAAGTGCACTGTTTCTCAGCACTAAGGGCCTGCGGTTATCGGTATGTATGAGTGAATGCATTTTCGCACTCCTCCTTTGAGGCTTGAACTAAGTTGGCGTGTTCATGCCTCAACTTTCAAAAGGGTAGATCGTCGCAATCCAGAAACTCATGGTGTCGGTCCATGTTTTCGTAAATCTCATACTTTTTCTCATGATCATCGTTCTGGTTTGCTTTCCACCATTCCTGTTCACACTTCATCAAATGCTGCTTCGCCCTGAGACACGAGCGTGCTGCAGCCTTGTCAAAAACCGTCAACCTACGAAGCTCTACGCCTGAAATCCAACCGCTTGTAGCTTTGCTGATGGTTGGGTCTTCACGACTCTCAGGCATCCGGGCTTCTTCTCTCAGTACTTCTTCTTCTGGTGCTGTGACTTGTGGTGTTGCTGGTGCATCTGTCATCTCGACATCTCCTTCACTCTCGGGTTCACGCGGCTCGATGAACCTCAATGGTATCTCTACCACCTCTCCTGAATCCAGTCGAACCTGGACTGTCTCTTCACCCTCAATGACGTCGTCATCATCGTTCTCACTCTCCTCCCGCTGTGGACTGGGGTTGCCCAACGGGATTCGTTGTTCATCCAACTCCTCATCTCGCTCTTGCTTTGCCTTCAGGTACTCCTTGACTTGGGCATCCATTCTCCGAAGATCAAATTCTCGATTGCTGTGCTGTAGGTAGTTCCAGTGCTTCCAATCTCCTTCTTGGAACTCTGTTGCATCTACATATCCTGAAGCTTTCACCAATCCTCTGTGGATTTGCTGTGTATAGGTCTTCAAATCCTTCACTTCCTTGCTGACCTCCTTCACCTTCTCCTCGACCTCATATGTCATCGCCCCCTGGGTCATGACATCAACATGACTATCATCCTTCATCTGCTGGATCACAGTCTCAAGCGCTTTGATGCGCCTCCACATCATCACCATCGTGCCAATCACGATTAAGATCAACACCGCCACAATCATGATGATGAAGAACCACCACCACCAAGTAGCATTCTCCGTGGGCTCAATCTCCAAGGCGTCGTCCCTTACTCCGGCCACTTGCCCAAGGCCCTCAAGTAGCAGGATTCTATTGAGTAGTTTCGCCAGCTTGCCAATTTTGACTTGGCTTACACTCATCTCCTGCAGACGGCCATGCTCCTCCTGGCCCAATCTCTCTCCATCACATCTTCGGGCATTGCACCAATGGAGAATCAAGCTGATGCGATTCTTGGTGAGGGGCTTTGTGCCAAGATCAGCAATGTTGTACACTGTCCCCACTGCTTTTACTTGTAGTTCCTCTTGTGCCACCAAATCCTGTATCCACAGCAGTTTTCCCGAGATATGCCGAAGCTTTCCGGGACCCTTCCTATGGCATAGGTGGAGTGCTGCTGAGTTGTCAACTAGACAATGGTGGATCACTTCCTCCTCGGTAATGAACTCGAGGCATTTCTTCAGGTAGATTCCATCTGCTGCTGCTGAAACCAATGCATTAAGCTCAGCCTCTGCAGAACTCAACGTCACACTTTTCTGTCCTCTTGAGCTTGTGAAAACCACCACTCCGTTGGCCACATGGATTGCTGCAGACGTGGAACGTCTGTGGCTCTTGGACCCTGACCAGTCACTGTCCGAGAACGTCTCCAGCAGCCATCTGCCCTTCGTTGTCCTCGTAGCGAGTCCTGATCCCGGCTCTTCAATCTCCAGCATCGTGTACTGGCCCATGGTATTCTTCAAATAACCAACCAACTTTCCAAGCTTCCTCAAGCTTCCGGTTGTCGGGCATGACATCGACCCTGCAAGCTCCTTGATCACATAGGACACATCTGGTCGCTCTTGTGAAAGGTATATTCCACATCCAACCAAAGATCTATAGAGACTCGCAAGATCTGCCCTCAGCTGTGTTGTGCCATCAGCCTCAAGCATTTCCTGGCTGCATGGTAGGGATTGAACCTTTGCACGTCCCATGGTCTCCTCGTACATCTCCACCATGCTTTGGGCATATTTGCCAGGGTGGACCTTCAGCCCAGTCTCTGTCTCCTCATACGTCCTCCTCAAGAACTGGAAGGAGCTGCCAGGACCAGTTAGATGCTGTTCCGAGATTTCAAACCTTGCTTTGATGCTTGGCAAGAAGTCGTTCACAACGTACTCCTCCTCTCCAAGATATAGGACGTCGTCCACATGGATCAACACTGTCATCTTGTTGGAGAGCTTGCCCAAGCATGGATTCGTTCTCGAAAACTCAAATAACCCGTGAAATAATCGAACCAAGCTTTTGCCCCAATCCTCTGTCCTGGAAGGTTTCGGCGGACTTCAAAATGTCCCGTGGCCGTTGTCACTTGAGTTGGTTCATCTTGTGGTACCTGCAGAAAGGCATCCTTCACGTCCAGCGCACCAAGCTGAACCTGTGGGCCACCATCTTCCATCTCCTTCTTCCTCATCAGGTACAGAGTGGGTATCAACCTCAAAGCATGGCTTCCACTGGCTGGGCTGTGTACATCATCTCTTCGATCTGTGGCGTATTCTCTTGCTACCATTCTCGATCTCCTCAAGAACTGCTTTGGTGCTCCCGGCAACTTGGATCTTGGTTTCGCCCTCCAGTCATGAACGAACCTGGTGGTTAGCTTCTTGTAACCATGCTTCAACTCATCCATTGGGACCAAAACTCCCAACTTCTGTAGTCTCCTTTCCTCCACCTCATTCGCCAGGTCGTCAACCCACTTTGGAGGGTCAGGTGGAACTCTATCCAATGGAGCGTCAGACCAAAGCTCATCTGGAATGTCTTGAAGGGACTCTTCTTCCTCCAACGCCCATTCATTTTCCCATTCCAGAAAGTCCTCCTCAATGACCTTGTCCATGTGGTAGTAAAGCCTTCCTTCAACTTCTGTGGCTTCCACCCGTCTCTCCTCTTGCACCTTCTCCTCTTGCTTCAATCTCTTTGCCTCGGGTGCATCCTGATCCAAACTGTGGATATTCTTCTCGAAGGTTACTTTGAATCTCTTTCCTTCGGGTTCCTCCTCATTTCCTCTCAAAGCACCCTTCTGAGCTTCTGGTCTTGGTGTACTCGGCCACACTGTTGAAGGTCCTGCCTGGTTCCGGCCTTCATCAATTTGGTTTGGGTTTCTCACTGGAATCAACTCCTGGACTTCATCCTCCACGTAGTCCTTCTTCTTCTCCTCGGCCAGCTTCTTCTCTTCTTCTTCTCCCGGGCTGCCAACTTCAACTGGCCTCTCTTCTTCAGCTACCAAATCTTGGGCCTCCTCAAGCTTTCCTGCCAAGGTCTTTGTAAAGGCGAGCACCTCCAAGGCGTCCTCATCGTGACTTGCTATGGCCTTGCTCACTGGCATAGGAACTCCCATCGGCCCTGTCACCATAGCTGCTAGCCTCTTGGAGGGTACAATTCGTCCTCCAAAGTTCTGCTGGAACTCCCAAGAGTAAGCCGTGAAGTTCTGGTAGCAGGCCAAGTACTTCTGGTTGGCATTGGAAACTCTCCTCAATGATCTGCTTAAGAAAACTCTATTGCCATCACCGATCACCCAAGCGTCCTGGATCTCTGTCTTTCCAAGGCAAATCCCAACTTTCCATCTCGGGTCTGCCTTGAATCCCTGCTTGGGCTTTGAGTAAGCAAAGCAGATCTCTCCGTATTCGCACAGCTTTCCCTCATAGGCCCGACCTTGACATAGCTCATAGCTTGTTGAGCCTTGAAAGGGTTGGAACCGATTCAATAACCAAGCTCCATGTCGGCATGCACATGTCCACAGTGGATGCTGGCTGCTGAAGCGAAGGCCTGTGGACTCTGTAAGGCTCTCCATGAGGGTTGCAGCTACATTCCTGATCCGTTGGATGGCATTCTCAACCAAACTGTTCCCAGCTGCATCGTAGATCCGAGTTGTCCTCATGGTCGTTTTCAGCCCAAATGCAGACCTCGATTGAACTAGGAGCTTGAGTGCCTGCCTCAGAGTAGGTTCATTGTCTGAGTAGTACTGTACCTCCTCATGCCCCAAGATCTGCGTGAAGGCGAGTCGTGGGTGATCAATGCCAGTTGCCCCTTTGACTTCAACGGCAAAGCCAACAAGTATCCTGTTTGTGAGCACACAGCTACCAGGAGTAACGCTCCTCCTTCATCTGACACTCCCAGCTGTGCCTTATCTTCCTGCTCTTCTCCTCCCAATGCTCCAGACCCTGAGGCTCTGACATGGCACAGGTCAAATGAGATCGTCGGGCATCCCTGTTCACGAGCTCTGCCTGTCCTCCTGCGCTGGTCCTGCCGTGCTCGATGCTTGAGGCAAGAAGCACACCATGGGGCATATGGGAGGTGAGTCAGCTGGTGTTGCCTTCTCTCCTCCTCTGTAGGCTCCTTTGCCACTGCTTGCTCCACAGGAATGCGCTTCTCGAATGCCTCTGCTTGCGCTGCCAAGTCTTTCGCGAGCAGCAACTCCATCTTGTTCTGGTGCTCGAGCAACCTACCAAAGCACTTCTTCTTTCCTCCACTCTGGCCTATCTTGTAGTAGGAGCAGGCTGCTCTCAAACTCCTCAAGGGACTTTCCAATGTAAGGACCACATCGTTGACTGTAATGTGACTCGGCAAAGCTGGTCCAACCTCAAACCTCACGAGCTGATCATCGAGGTTTCTCCCTTCAGCTTGCTCTCCACTGGGAATCTCCATGTCTTCAACCTCCTCAGCTTCTTCGGCCTCTGGGATAGCATGATCTTCGATCTCTTCGCTTCGGGGCTTGTACCACTTGAAGCCCTCACTCAGCTCAAACCCAAAGTTCTCTGGGGTCATGCCCTCCTTGGCAATGAACGTGAGAATTCTGCTCATCTCTTCACTCTTCAACTCTTCAATCGCCTCCTCTTGGTCTTCCAGGCTATCAAGAGGTTCAGCCATTTCGACTAACTCCCATTGTCCTCCTCTGTTCACCAAGGTGGACCGGCAGAACCCTTCATCTTGACTTCGGAAACCTGGAATAAACTGAGGGCTTTGGTATGAGCGTCCCAAATGCAGTCCCAACCAATAGTCACCCTTCTTTCTCCATCCATAGTACTCTTCAGAAGTCCTCTGCAACTCCTCATCGAGCTGGACTGCCAACGTGCGAATCACCTGTGGCTTGGAGATGGTCCTGATACAGGCATCAACCACTAGGCTTTGGTTCTGAAACGTCAACGGCACCTCCAACTCTCCATGTGTCAAACACATCGAATTCGCATCCAAGGACCACCCACTCTTCATGAGTCTTCCGTAGGAGATGATCGGCTGACTCACACAATCACTGAATGTGACCTTCTCCTTCAAGACCACTTGGCGACCTTCTGTAGACCACAAGATGATGTCCACATCTCGACTTCCATAGGTCTTGATCTTGGTCCCTTGGGCGTCCTGCAAATGGGGTGTTCCACCAGACGACTCCTCTCCCATCTCCCTCATGAAGCCAGGGAACAAGGATGCGTCCGCTCCTGAATCCACGATCACTGCCATTGAAGGGCCTTTGATGCCGTCCTCCACCAAACTTTCACTCTCCTCACTATCTTCCCTTCTCTCATGCACCGTGTTCACCACATAGGCCGCTTGCTCATCGTCATCCTCCTCGTCCGTGAAGATGCTGTAGTACTCCACAGCCACTTCCTGCACCACTCGAATTGAACCACCTGTTGAAGCTTCTCGCAAATCAAAAACAGCTGGTTGTGAAACTCTTCGAATTGACTTTGCTGACGTACTCTGGTCTCCTCCGCCACCAATTCCACTTGTGGTGGTCGATGGTGACGTAGTATGCTGGCTTGACCCTGCAACACTCTGGGTGGCTGGTGCTTCAACTTGCCTCACCCGCCAGCAGTCTTTCGCCTGATGACCAGGCTTTCCGCACGTCCAGCAAACTTCTCCATTGCCCTTTCCTTTGCCCCCTTTGTTGTCCTTGGCTCCTTTGCCTTTACCTTCTTTTGCTCCTCCGCCGAACTTCCCATTCTTGCTCTTGCCTTTGCCCTTTTCATCTTTTCCTTTTCCTTTTGACTTCGAGTCCTTTCCTTTTCCCTTCGGATCTTTTCCGCCCTTTCCCTTCTGCACCCGGTCGATTTCCATGGGCACCGGACCATCAGTCGTCAACGTCATTGGGCTCATTCCTGAGAAGGATAGGGCAGCTGACTCATTCCATCTTGTTGTAGCTGTATCGAAGGCTAGGATGGACTCCCTGATCTTGTTGTAACTGCTGCCCTCATTCAACGTGATGTTCAGGTGGGTCTTCATCTGACCTCCCACTGACCTTAGGAGGATCGCGGATTTCATGTCTCCAGCCAGCTTTCCTCCTCCAAGGCGCTCATACTGAACGAAGTGCTCCTCTAATTTCAAAATCTGTGGCAGGAGTGAGTTCTTCATATTGAACTGGGGATAGGCCATTATCCCTTGGAGCAAGTTCATAGTACGATTCCTCGCCTGTGGTTGGCAGTTTCCAAGGAGCTGCCTCAACGCTTCATAGCCATTGAACTTGTCCACGGTCTTCAGAACTCCGACCAGCCTTCCTTGGATCAATCCTCCCAACAGGGAGTACAAGAAGCGGCTTCTTTGCTGGTCCTCATCTGACATCAAGTCCCAGTCATACTCTGAAGTGGGATTGGTCTCCATCTTTTCCAGTTCTTCTTGGTATGCTCCATCAACAACTACCAAATATTGCTTCAAACTCCAAAACCAATCTCTCCACTGTAAAACCTCCTGTTCACGGTCAGCGGGGTTGAACACTTGCGGTCGTGGGATCAACTTGGCCAAATCTTTCTTCAACCCACCAGCATCACCTCCACCTGCAGGAGAGCTCTGACTAGCTGTAGCTTGGGCAGCCTGACTAGCGGCAAGGGTGGCCGCTTGAGCAGCACCGATCAAGGCCTGAGTGAGCTCAGTCATGCCAGCTCCTGCCCTCTGCCAACTCCTCAAACACCTCTTCAACTTCCAAGATGGGGGCAAGGTCAAGATCGATGGTGGAGTTCACGCTCGGCCTCCAAATCAACACAAGCTTAGATTGCGAGAACTGCCACACTAGCTTATATGGTCGCTCGGCGCGGGCGAAGGTCAACCCTGGGGTCCAAATCCGCGCTGGAGCTCGGTCGAGACTTAAAGAATCGACGTCACGGCTCCGCTACCATGCGGAAGTGCACTGTTTCTCAGCACTAAGGGCCTGCGGTTATCGGTATGTATGAGTGAATGCATTTTCGCAGTAATGAATACTGGACTCGCGGTGACCATGTTCTCTCACAGATGGTGTGCGTGACAACTGCCATGACTTCCACAAAGGAACAGTCTTCATGACAAAGCCATCCTTTCCCAAACGCTATCCCAAAAAAAGAAGGGAAGCAACATGAAGCGACCATCAGCACCAGGACCACTATGCTACAGCCTTCTCGCCCCGTTGTCTCCTGTATGTTCCATCCTTCTGCCCTCTTCCTCCCTATGTCGACCTCCATCTAGACTCAAGCCCCCCGTCTGCAGGACAAATATCACACAAAATCAGAAAGAAAGCTGAACATAGACTCACTTCCAGAAGCCACTTCTTCCCACATCTTCCCACCTTGACTTCATAGAAGCCATGCTTCGCCTTCTCTCCGGCCACCCGTGCGCCCTGCTCCGCCGCGCTCTGCGCCGCCGCCGAGGCCATCTGCCGCTGGAGCTCGGCGGCGGGGTCGTGCGACGCCTGGCCGTAGACCTGCGGCGTGGCCTGGCTCGCCATGGCGGATGGCCCGGAGCAGAACCGGAGCAGGTCTGGGGCGCTGCTTGGGGCACGATGGATGAGCCAAAAAGCCAGTGCAACAAGATCGGTTGGAAGGGTCTGTTCTTGAGATGTTTGGGGGGGGAGGGGCCAGTTTGGGTGTAGGGCACTGGGCAGAAGTTCAGTGGCAGAATTCTGTGTGGCTGGATTGCCTTACATGTCGTTGATCGCAGCTGGATCTATTGCCAACTGCACGAACTCTTTGAGCCAAGCGAAAGAAATTCGGTGGCTGTCCAACCCAACCCAACCAAGACCAACGCACGGCATGGCCGTGGGTTACTGCGATATTGCCTTAAAGGAACCGACTCTGGCAGCGATAAGGGGGTCACCAAAGTATATAACTGCCCTACCCTACAACTGATCTGATCTCGATGACGCCCCCCAAACGGGTCCAAATGGAAGGTTCGGGTATCTGATCCATCTCCCTGCAAACCTTTTTGTACATCCAGTGACCGGAAATTTCTTCGTCCCAACTTCATCAAGCAGCCTCCAACGATCTGCAAAACTGCGGTGTCTATCTATTCACCTTCTTTTGTCCGGCGAGGCGCAGAGAAAAAAAAGAAACACTTATTACAGTATAGACATCGATGACCAGGAAATCCTCGTCGGCTGCGTTTGGGCTCACGAAGTTCGTGCCATGAAAGGCAAAGGCTGGCGTCACCAGGCCAGCGCGCCTCGTCACACCGCGGCGGGTGACGGGGCGTTGTGCGCATGCGTTGCGGGCGTTGTGCGCAGGGCGCGGGAAACGACATGGAGAAACGCCATAGGACTGGGTTTCTCCTGGGCTACATGCCCGTTAGAGGGACAGGATGAAATGAGAGTCAAAGACCCCAATGGAAACAGGAGGCCCACCGACCTCCAAGAAACTCTTATCACATCTTATCACTGTGGCGCTCCCTTGGTGTTACCTTCAGTTCCAAGTTCTTTCCTCTTTAGGATTCTTTGGTCTCTTTCTTCCATCCCACGCCACGCGATCCACCGACTTCGAAGCAGAACCCGCTCGCAGCCTCCACGGCGCGCTCGCAGGCGCCTCAATGCCATGGGCTCCTCAAGGATGACCAAGGCACCAGTGACCTCGGCGGCCCCCGGAGACTCGGACCCGACGCAGAACGGGAAGGGCCCACCGTCCGGTCTACGACTCGCCCGACCGGGTGTCCCCCAAGGCAGCCAGTTGAAACAGACGCCAGCCGGGAGCGCATGGAAATGACGCATCTGCTGAACTGGTGTGAATCCTGCATGTCCGAGGAAAAGGCTGCAGCCATGGCCGTTACCTGGAGAAACACGCGAGGGGCGATCTTCGGAGAAGGAGCTCCAGCAACTGCAACTTGACAGTGTAACGAGAGTTCGTGGAAGTCATCAAATCAGGGACAAATGTTGTCATTCTCCCGACGGTTGAAAGATCTCTCTCCTAGATTTGTACGAAACGGCGAGCAAATGGGGAGGATGCGTTTGCCTATTGAACACCCTGGCCGCCGCCTCTAGTGATTGAGCCCTTGAATCCCACAAACAGAAGTTTTGCTCAAACACAGTTTCTTGTGGTCATTTTGGTCTCCGCTCAGCCAAGTGCGTTTTGCTGGGCCCACTCGTATGACAGAACGCACCAATAGAATCATCTGTGTGTCGTGCCACCTGTTTGGCTTCGGACTCATCCCACCTCATAGGCCTCCGGCCCGCGGTAGTGCACATGCGCCCACCTGGTGAAGCAGGATGGCCCCAAAAGCTCACCCTGTGAGCCCACCTGTGTTGCATTTTGTTGGGTCATACTGTCATACATACTCAACAGATTGAATTCTCCAAAGCAAGTCCCCCCAAAAAAAAGGCAAACTCAACTGTGGTCGTAGGACCGGGCTTCCTATTCTAAGCGACAAGTACACCCAAATATCACAAGTAATCCCAAAGACTCCGAAATAAGGCCCTCAAATCACACAGTAGGAAGAGGCCCAGGGTTTGTTGTTTGCGATCAGTGCTTGGTGTGGCTGCCGCACGAACACCAGAGCAGTAACGGTCACTATCCCCGGTTCCAGCTCCCCATGCTTTCACGCTTTTGAGAGCCGAACGTCTGTCGCGAGGGAGTCCGACGCCCAGGGCTAGGGCGGGCCAGGCGTCTAAGATGAAAGAGTTGATGACGATTGGCGAGTCACATGCCAACAAGGCTACCGCATCCAAGTAGCGGCGATTCCAATGGTCAGAGATTGTAAAGCCTTCAAACGCGGGTGTCACAATGTCACACGCTTCAACCAGGTCCGCCTGGGCCCTGCCATGCAAGATCCTAATTGTGAGACTCATGCACTAGGCGCACCTGCCCCAGGAACTTCAGGTCAAAAGTTGCTGAAACATCTCACAAGAAACAAGTTTCAAACTCTTCATTCTAGACACTTATTTTGTGGGCCTCATGTTGCCTGCGGGCATTTTCTGGAAGCCCAGAAAGTCTCTTGTGTAGAGCTCTTCAGCTCTCGAGCGCCATAAGGCAGTGCGCAGTCGTATGCCCTGGCTGCTCACCAGAGCCTACCCTTCGCCTCAAAGGGGCATGCTGAGTCAACTTTCTATCATGTTCCTGTGGGACATGGTGGGTGGGTTGTGCAAAGGTCCCCCAGAACTGTGAGACATAGGCATAATGATAGAATGGTGCAGAATGGCACAATGAGCATATCGAGCATATCTTCAGGGTGTTCAGGTGGCTCTGGTCTACTGTTCGTGTTGGAATCTGATCCATACTCCTACATGTTCTAGATCCATTCCACTCCCCCTGGTCCCCTCACTTTGGACGCTTTCTTGGCAGACCTTTCTCAAACACCACTGGGGGGCTCCACCGACAAGGGAGTTTCTGGTCCTTTGGTCCTCAAGTCTCGTTGAGGCCGCCAGTTGACACGGGTCCTCCAGTCTTGCCCACTCGTTGGTGCAAACGCAGAGATGTTTGGTCTTGATTCTCGCCACCCAGGGAGTCCTACCGAGTGCTGTGCTACCCTTGACAGATGGACCAATGCCACCGGCTCCCGGTTCTTCCAGCTTGTCCAGAGGCTTGAGGCATGTCTACATGCATAGACTCAGACCCTTTTGCATCAGAATCAGAACATCAAGTGAAATGCCCTTTGGCCAAGTCATGTTTCATCTACACGTCCAATTTGAGTATGCCACGACTTCGCCACGACTTCATCAGCGGAGCCCGAGCTGCCTAACCGCCTCCGGTGCCACAGCCTGAACATCATCCGCTGGATCGGTGTGTCATGGCCACCGGGTCGGAGAGGTCGGTCGCGAGTGTGAAGGAGGAGTCTTTTGCGGCCTCCTTTTCTCAGGCCTCTAATAAGGGGTGGCCCAAGAAAAGAAAAGACATGAAGAGCGCTTGGTTTCTGGTGGAAAGCTGGGAGCATCAGGTTTCAACAAATGAAATATACTATTAGTTTCATCAATGTGTAAAAGCTGTCAATATATGTGCCATCAGGAGCTGTGCTTGAACATGGAGGCGAAACTGTAGACACTTCTTCAGCCAAATCCACGACAGCCCTCTTCAGCCCAGTCAGTGCTACCCACTTGAGGGCGATCCTCTGAGGTCCGACATCCCATTCTACGCACATCCGGCGACATGGAAGCCAGAGGCGGCATCTGCATGGAGTGGGCTGAAGCCGACATCCCATATGAAGTACGGCCACCACCAAACCCGCAGCTCCACCCATGCACCCCTGAGTGAACTCTCCAATCCCTGCCGTTCAGGAACATGCGAATTGCAGGGAGTTCACCGGCTGCGGCTGCGGCCGGATCGTCGGTGCCAGGCCGACCTAGCCGCTTTCAAAGGCGCAGGTGTGGCATGCATCGGTTGTGGAATCTTTTGGAGAAAATGTAGGTTTCTTGAATTCCAGAAGCTCAAGAAGTGTCCAGCGAGTCCAGGTGGAATCCTTTGTGCCAGTCAGATGCATCTTCTTCGCAAGTGGGTGCCATGTTGGACTTCAACTTCGCCTTCGGACTTCCAACGCTATTAGGTTGGAGGCCATTGCTATTCACTTTTCACTTCGCTCCACCTCTCGGGCCCCGGGCGGTAATCCCATGAGCATCCGAAGTCATGTCAAACAATCCCGCTTTCAGGCTCTCATAGATCTGCTTTGCCTCGCACCCAAGCACGGAGGCCAAGGCCAATGGCAACAGAGGCTGAGAGGTGAAGAAGTCAATCTCCAAAGTCAACCCCTCTGTATGAGAAAGGCCGTATAGTATCAAGGTAGTTTGTTGGAAGAGTGTGCCAAGACTCCGGCCAAGACTGTGTGGGTCTGAGCTCTGCATTGGCGTTACCATGGGGGCCGCCCTCTCCACGAGTGAGGACATCTGGGCATGACATGGCATGACTTCATATTCGTTTCGGTTGCCCTTTGCAAGCGAAGTGGCGGTGTCCAGGAAAGCAGTTTCCACGTTCTGGCCTGGCGCCGACCGACCATCTACCGGAACAGGAGCACCCGTCTGGTTCCTGCGCTGTCCCTACACGAAGCTTCGCAGACGAACAGTGGACTCGGCACTTCCAGAGCTGCGTTCGATGGTCATGCATTTTCCACAACAAGTCCCCACCAGTCTCCAATCCGACCACTAGAATGTTTCCCCTCTACCACGGGGCTTAATTACACACAGTGAATGGGATCCAACACCTTCCCTTGCATATCAAACCCTCTCTGCTGTTCGCCTGTCACCTGTCCCCGTTCCGTGCCCCGTTCCTGTTTTCGCGGAGGTCTCCAGAAAGAATAGGCCGTTCCTGATGCAGGGCACGCGAATGGTCCCCCCAGCATCTTTCGATCAATCAGCTATCAGTCTGCGTCGCGGCCGCGAGACCTTAAAGGCACTCAGAGGTGGTCAGGCATCTCATGTAGCTGGTCTTCGGCCAGAAGGACTTTAAACAGATTTGATCCCGCTGGCCGGGCCCAAGGTCAAGCATGGTCAAATGCTGTTGAAAGCATTTTAAAGCCATCTATCTTGGCCACTTCTTCCGTCGGCACACGAATCGGCCAGGTCAAGGAGGTCACCTCTTGGCCTGAATCGCTTCGGCGATCCTAGTACAGGCCTACCATGACCAGTCTCTCGAAAAAATGAATACTTGTCTGAGTGAGCATGGGATTTTCTCCCCCTTCCACCCGACCCCACTCACCAATCTCCACTCCTGTCGGCACATTCCTCCGAGCGGCTGTCTGGCAAACCAGGCGCCCTCTTCGAAGCTCACTTCTCTGCGGTCGAGGTCGCACTTGTTGCCAATGAGCATGATGACCATATTCCTCAAGAAAACAGCAGAAAATCAATCGTCAGACCGGGGAGAAAATCAAAGGAAGGATTGTGGGAGAGGAGGTTCAAGAGGGGGTTCTCTTCTTCTGGAACCTGCTGAAGCTTTAGTGCCCGCACCTAGCCAAACAGACAGTTGGACGATACCAGGCAACCACAGGATGCCGGACTGCCTGTTGTCTAAAACTGCCGAATCTTCAGGAGTTGAGGCGGAGTGTATAGTATACATACATATATATATAGATATATGATATATATATATATATATCTGTGTGTGTGTGAATATGTGTATGTATAAGTGTATATATATACATATAATATCACAAGTTGCACAACCTCCATTTGTAGCGCAACCTCCATTTGTAGCGCAACATCAACCCATCACCTGCCTCCACCTGCCATCTCACAGTCTCCCATCTCCATCGCACTTCCTGTATCAAGTATCAACATAGATTGACATGGAACAAGCTGCCCGACCGTGGGCACCAAAACCACGGCCTTCCACCTCTCCACCAAGCTTCGGCTGGGCGTTCTGCCGTGCATCCATGAGCCACTGGGCCAGCCGATCGAAGGAGCTCCGCCGCGTGATGTCGTAGACCAGCAGCGCGCCTGACTGTGGCGTCCGTGACGCGCAGATGAGATGGTGGGATGCCACGGTGCCCGGTCTGTGGTTTTGCACAAGAAGTTGGGACCAGGTGTGGTCAGAAGGTGCTTTGAAGTACCAGTGCATGATAACACAACACTTGAAGGCTCCTACCCAAGTTGCCACTGTGGTCACTACTGCTGGGGCCACCTCATACCATAGAGCAGATTGAATTTGGCTGACACGAAATGGGAAAGCATGGAGCAATTGCTGCTGGAATCAGCAAGTGTTGCAGAAGCAGCAATGACCACTTCCACATCCATTGAATTCCCCAGCCCAGCCCCCCTGCAGTCCACGCCGCCGGTCGCACCACGGTAGTAGGCGCGCCTCAGATGCGAACTTCCACTCACCAGGGCCTTTGTTAAAGAGGAAAGGGTTGCAAGATTTCGGCTTTCCCCCCATATGCCGGCCCTGGAACAATCCTGGACGACGTGACCGCAAACGCGTCTGGGAAGAGATGGGAAGATGATCATTGATCACCAACTGCTCTACCCTTCAGCTTCAGCCCAGCTGTCATTGAGCCATGCAACGTAATTGATCTGAAAGCCTCTTGCCCAGCTGTATCCCATATTTGGAGCTTGATGCGCTCTGCTTCGATATCAACCTGACTTCTGAAGTGTCGTGGCGGCGACGGCGATGGCGGGACTGCCATGAAAAACGTGATTTAAAGTTGTGCAGGCTTTTCTATGTGTTTTTTCAATCTGGCAAACCCAACAGGTCTGTCTCAAAGTTCAGTAGGCCAAATCAACATCAGATATCAGGGGTGTTCAAGAACTATGTAATCATTGTAAATCTAATTGGCATCTGTTGGAGGGCCGTCCACCTCAAAGATCTGTAAATGGTCATGACAATAAAAGGTCTGGAAACAAGTGATTGTCCAAAGCAGCCTTGCTCCACAGCCGTTCCTCCTGAGCACACGTACCCTGCCCAGCCAGCTGAGGATGAAACGAAGCGATGTCCAAACTCCACCTGAGCCATGGGGGAAGCAGATCTAACGATCTACCTTTTGAAGCTGGCCTTCCAGGTGATTGAAGTTCACACCTCACCCTACCTTGGCCACTCGTGGCCCCTCGCCAAGTGGAAAAAAGAAACGGCAAGACGTCCAAATGACTTCCGTAGGCCCGTAGGCCCTGTCTCGCCCCCAGCGAAGCAACTGAACTGAAGCTGAGCCACGCCAATCGTCATGTCCTCAGTGCGCAGGAGCCACGCTTCTCCAGGGTGCGGAGGCGTAAGTAAGGGCCCCGAGGCGACCCGAGGCGACCCAGTACACTGTGGCGACCAGTGCAGCACTTCTTAAGCTCAACCTGCAGTTTCTAGCAGCAACCTGCAGGAGTTCCATGGCAGGGGGTGGTTTTTAAGACCCAGTCAATGAGTTGGATCTTCTGGGCACTCCTATCCTCCATGGAACTGCAATCTGGTGCTGAGTCAAGTTGTCCCTGAAGGCTGTCAAAAATCTGGCACACCCTGCCGGCCCCTTGCCCCCCCACAGCCCTGTTTTTTCCTTTGAACCTTTAGGCCGGTTCTTCTTTAGACATTGTTTTGTTATTGTTTCTTTTGACCATTAAGCCGTTTTCTATGTCTACGTCTGCCTTGTGTCCTTGACACCTTTCTTTTGACCTTTGAAACCTGGTTCCTGTTTCTTCGTGTTCTTTAACTTAGATCTTTAGGCCTGTCTCTTTCTGTTTATGCCTTTAACCCGTAACCTGTTTCTATGTCTTTTTTCTCTGTTTTCTTAAGACCTTTATATAAGACCTTCTCTTTCATGTTTGATATGTTCTTATTCTTAGCTTTCGGTGTGCAGTCCCTGAAGCCCATCCCAAATCCACCCACCCGTGGTGCAGGCGTGCGGCATGTTCCGCTCGAAAGCGCTTGTCTGTGAACTGCAGCAGCAGACAGGACTTCCCCACACCGGCGTCCCCGACCTCAGCAAACAGCCGACCTCACCGCTGCCAGCGGAGAAAACCGAGCGCACCCCGTGGGTTCTTGGGGACAGATTTCTTGGAGAAAGCCACAAGCTGATTGGCAACAAATGCAACAGGTTCCGGTGCTACTATCGTGTGTCCACGACTTCTGGCACGCCCCCCCTGCCAAGCCAAGGTTCAATGATGTACCTCAGTGTCCGCACGAGGCAACATGAAAACGTCACTTACAGCTGAACAATCTGAACAGTGGAAACCAGATTTCACAGGTTACAGTATCTGGGCAGTGCTGGGGCAACTCCTTTCGAACAGCCTACCCTGGCAGAAATGCCTTGATCGCCTTGAGACTGGAGGTTTGTTCATCGCAAGACCCGCCCAAGCCCGGATCATGAAGGTCATGCATCTCAGTCTGTAGTCTCGTGTGCGCACCTTATGGTCATACAAACCTTGGACAGCAGCCTTGCGACTCTCCTACTAGGGGGCTGCGTAGTCTAGGAGCTGCTCTTGCCCACCAGGGCACTTGAAGAGGTAGTTGTAGTCCCCCATCTCTCCAGCCGGAGCCACGCGTGGCTCTGGCTGGAGTCCATGGGAGCGGTCGACCCGCCCGTCTCTCTCCGCCCCCTCGAGCCAAACGTCGACCGCAGTCGGATGGACCGGAGCGCAGGAAAGCCTTGCTTGGCATCACCAAGTGCATGAGATGAAGGAAGTCTTGCTTGGCCGTTAAAAAAAGAACCTGACCAACTCCAAAGTTTCACCTAGGACCTATTGCTGCGTGAAGGTTCTTTCGCTGGCGCGGGGTGGAAGGCCACAAATCAAGAGAGATCAGTGGCGACTCGCAAAGAAAAACCCTGAAAAACCCATCCTTCGGTCCGAACCGAAAGCTGAGCTTGTGCGCGTGAGAAACCCCGTCTTCAGTGTGCCCGAGCACCTCACAACTCCACGTCGCTGACCGCGCAACGGGGCGCGCCGTGACGACGCCTGCCATCCTCGGCCTCGCCCAGTGCAAAGACCTCTGAGAAGTAGAGCGCCCGCAGCTCGGGTGGAGGCCTTTGGTGGTCTGCGTGTCACGGATGAGGTCTGGAAGGTTGCGTGATCGGTTCGGGGAAGCGAGCATTAAGCTGGGCCCGCTCTTCGATTCGGATTTGGAAGATGTTGAGGGTGGGATTTGGATGGGATTTGGATGAGTTCGAAGAACCGAGGCCCCCCGCCCCTCGCCAGGCCGCGGAACTTGACCCTGCTCCGCCTGCTGCTTCATAGCGCCTCCCGGTTGGGACGACGTTCGCTGGTTGTTATTGGCAGTAGTCGCGGTGTGTTCACTTGAGAATGTTTCAAGTTTACGAGTATGCCCTAGAATGGCTAGATCAATCTTGGGTGCCAAGAGTAGTGGCAAGGCTGGTTGACAAATATGTGTCGTGTTATCAAAATGCTCGGATTTGATGGATCATCTGGTCCCAAACAAGTCCCAGAAAAGATTATAAGTTGTCTTGATCAATGGGTGTGTCAACATGAAGAGGTTGCAGACTGATACACCTCACACAAGTGACACGCAGAATCATCCCATCCCAGACCACTGCCCTTGCTTCTTTGGTCTTTCTGCCCCAAGCAGGCATCCTAGCATGGCCAAGGGGCAAACCCCCTTTCAGCCTATGACCCCAGCCATGTTGGCCGCGAAGATTGCCAAGAATCAGACCCCACAGTGGAGAGGGCAGCTCATACCGGACAGAGTTCTCACAAAATGTTCCATTGATGTGATGTGTGAAACTCGTTGAGGGCTCCACTTCTGGAGTTTGTTCCACTATCATCGCCAGCTCTCGCGGAACACGCAGAAGAGTTGCGCGTGGGGATCACAAGAGCGCATCGAGAGCTGCCTAACAGTCTACGACCTACAAACTAGCACATTGCAAGGAGACAAGGCTCCCTTGTCTCCCTGGAAGCATGTTCATGCACACTCCTTCAAGCAGGTGTCGAGCAAATCGGAAAGCATGTTGAAAAGAGCCTGCGTGCTACTATTGAAGTAACTGCACATCGAATTGAAAATCGTATCAAATATCTGAAAATCGCGATGTATTTCTTCAGCCCCATATCGCGAGGTATGAGGTGTCTAAGCTGTAGCACGCCGGCATGGCTCAAGTCGAGGGTTCAGGCGTGCTTTTTTGCCACCTCTGGTGAGGCCTTTGTCAAATCCTTCGTCGCTGTTCTTTGGCTTTTTCGACGCCCCAGCCACGCAGCGGGCGGCCCGCTCAGCTGTGCTCCTGGCTACTGCTACTGGTGCTGCCTGGCACTGAAGGTGCTGACACCACCGACATCACGGAGCGCTGATGGGCGGCAAAGCTTTGCCTCGGTGCGCCACGAAGTGCTTTGGAAGTGCTTTCGATGGCCTGACCGGGAAGTGGGCGAAGCATGGCGAAACCCATGGTGAAGCCCCATGGCAAAATCGCTGATTCTCGATCTGTGGTTATGAAGTGAAACTGGACAGTTTTAGCAGGGTCCATGGGGTCCATCAGGTCCTTTGGATAATAAAAATCTATCTGTTTGAAGCCCAGCTCCTGGTCTCCCTCCACACCCCAGCTACATCTTTGCCCAACCCCCCGCTGCACTGCAACTGTGCCACGCTTCCGCCGTCCAGACGGCGATCCGCTCCACCACGTGGGGCGACAGGTCGCCCTGGCGAGGGGAGTCGGTGCTTGGAGCCCTCTTCCACCCCAACGTGCTTGGAGCCCAAGGCTTGGAAAGGTGATTCAAATGATGAGTCGGACATTATGAGGACATCACCTGGGGCCCTAAATTACAATTCAATAAAATTCCTGCCTGACATGCTACCGCTAGGCAGGGGTATATGAGTTCTTCAGGTTGTCCTCTTGCTGCTCCGAAACCCTTATTATGACCAAGCACTAACTGAAAGTGTTCATTCCTAAGTTCCTGTGTGTCTTCCTTCCTCCCTCTCCCCGAATGACGGGCCACATCAGTCACTACTTCAAACACACAAGCTCTGCAAAGTGATAGTGCATTCTCTGCCTTCAGAGCCTCGTACCCTGAAAGAATTACATGTTGCTTGCAAAGCAGTCCTGCTTCAAACACCATTATTTGATTAATTACATACATAGCTCCAGTGAGTCATGGTGAAGCCACATGGCCGAACTCCAAAAACCGTGCGTTCCCTTCGATGTTTGCACCTGCTGCAAGGCACGCCGCCGGGTGCTGGTCGCCTGGGCTGACGCGTGGCCCCGAAAACCTTAACCTTGATGAGGAGAACCATCCAGTCCGGCCCCCCTTCATAAAACAGCCCACCCACTTGTCACGTGGCTTCGCTGTGCCGGAGAAAAGGCGAAAGAAACGATTGTTTCACAACAAAAGCGGCACAAGAACTGTGTGTGAGGTTTATCCAAAAAGCTAGATGAGCAGATGACCAGTAAGACGTGTTCGAAGTTTTTCAGCTTCAAAATGCTGATGATTGTTCTTCCCTACATATTAATAGGGGGGGACCTAAAAAAATGTATCCCTGGGGGGGGTATGCAAAGTGAACCTAAAAAATGTAAGCTTACATGTTTCCTGTAAGTCCTAAAAAATGTTAGCTACATTTGGTGTTCATATCCCAAAAAATGTAGCTTAATTTTTTTGGTTTGTTAGAATGTGAACTGCATATCCTGCATGACATCTAACCCTCACACTGAATGCGCACAAACTATTAAAAAAACTCTTGTCATGATCTCTGATGACATCTTGTGCCGTTGAGCCGCTGATTCGGCCAAGCAAACCTCATTGTTTTAGCATTATTTCTTACTGCTTCTTGCTTCTTCTTACCTCATTGATTTTCAAGGGGGGGCAGAAAATGTAACTTAGGACGTGGGACGTGGTAAGTTACATTTTCTCCAGCCCCCCCCAAAAAAATCTAACTGACACACACCAGCCAGCACCTCATTTCCTGAACAATTCCCAGGAACATGCACGCAGGGACATAGCCAAACACAGCAAAAATCTGGGGGTGGGGGGACCATGAATATGGCCTCTACTTGAATAAGTAGGGCCCAAAACGAGGGGGGGTCAACATACATTTATGGGGTCTCCCGGAAATTGTAAGTTACATTTTTGGGGGTCCCCCCCCAGAAGTGTACCTAAGAGGGTAGGGATATTGTTCTTCCATGTTCTTTGCACACTCATGATTCACTGACTCACTGACTCAACTTCTGCACAAACCCCGACATCGACCACCTCCACGCCACCGTGGGGTCGGCCTCGACCACCTCCACGCCCAGCTCTAGAAGCAGCTTTTCCAGTGCGAGCGCCGCCCGCAAGCGCAGGCCGGCCTGGGCATGCGAAGATCGCTCGGCCCAGGTTGGCACGAAAAAGGACACCTACCTGGACCATCCAAGCGGTGCCCTGTCCCTATAGGTAGTGTGGGGTAGTCCAGCCAGGACACCCCTTGGATGGTCCTGGTAAGTCTCTCCGTGGCTTTTTTCCCCTTTCTTGGTCTGCCACGGACCTGGACCAAATGAAGAGAATGGTCATGAATGGAGTCCAATGGTTTCAGGCACTTAGGCACTTCGCCTTCACAAACTTGCACAAAGTATGAGGCTCGAAAGCGGCCCTTTCGCTGAGCAGCCACCTGCGACTGGACAAGTGTTGCGAGCCAAGGCCCAAGGTTGCAGCCTCTCTGCCTGGTGTTGCAACCCAAAAAACCTAGAGTCTGACCGGGTCTGACCTACTGAAGAGGCTGATTCCCCATCTAAGGGCCTCCAGTGAAAGCCAAGAGGCCACGAGGCTGAAGAGGATACCTCGCACCGACGCGACGCTGGCGCTGCCGGCAAACCGCCTCCACCCCTGCATATCGAACATATCGACCTTTATGTCGATGGATGAATTCCCGAAATCCAACCTTTTTCCGTGTAGAAGTGTAAACTAACAAATTTAAGTAACCAGTAATTCTATGTTTATATATACAGTATGTACCGTATACATTTTCCTACCTGGGTCAAAGCCCTATCCACGATCTCTTTTTGCGTGTGACGTCCTCCGTCACCCCCGTCCTGGCCTAAGCCCGTCAGCAGCACCAAGATGGACGGAAGCCAACTGAGCCTCGTCGCCACGTGCCGCTCCCGGGGTTGACCAGGCAAACGAGGCAAAATGAGCCCCAAACCGATGTCACCATGGTCCTTCAAACCCGTCTGACCTGCAGTTTTCCTGCTGCCCCAGGGCCAAGTCGCTTGTTGTTATTCAGATAGCCCAAGACCATAGTGAGGCCAGTGCATAGGCCACAAGCAAACCTCAGCGCTGCGGCTGCTGTGCCAAAAGGCTAGCACTCTGCACCTCCCTAAATCACAACCAAACACGCCCTTCCAAAGTTTCCACTTCCATACAGAGCTGTGAGTCCAAAAAAACCCTGCTATAAATTGGTATACTGTAAATTGGTTGACTGGTTGACCTACTCAACGGAAAACATTTGGGTTGGCCCTACCTACATTACAAGGAACCCCATCCCCATCCCGAGCTCCTCACAGCTCCTCCCATCTGCCGCCCGGTGGCGCCAAGCTCAGTAGCCCTGCCAGCTGCCGCAGGCAGCGCCACTTCAAGAAAGCGGCGCCCTCGGCGCGGAGCCGCTCGAGCCTGGGAAGCCACGGCGGAACCCGGGACTTGGAGGATCAGCTGACCCAGGCTTTGACACAGCTACCCTGAGGAGAGGAGAGGAAGCATGCAGAGATTTTGGTGTGGAAGATGTTTGTGCAGAACAAGTGCGACTGTCCGATTCTTTGATGTTTGTGTGGAAAGTTCGACGTTCCCAAATGTCCTTTGACCTCAGAACAAAGCGGAGCCAAGATGCGGTTACAGCACTGCACATAAGATTGAAAAGTGGGTCAACCAAGGAGGTCCAACTCACACGTCGCACACCCATTGGAGACTCCCACTCCTCGCACACTCCTCGCACTCCTCGCTGGGCTTCCGCACACCTCGACCCCTGGGAAGTGATCCAAGAGGGTGCCCACCCTTCTGGGCGTCTCGGACGCGTGGTCCGGATGCCTCCGACACGCTGAGGAGAAGAACATCCAAGACTGAGGGAGGGGTGGCCTTCCTACCGCTCCAAGATGTGATCAATAGTCAATAGTCTGCCAAGTTCCTTTGAATCAGATTGGGATGATTAGGAAACTAGAGTTGCGCCCAATTTAAACATGGGTCGCTTTGGTGAAGAAGTGAAATGGTGAACGTCCTCCACCGGAGTAGGGACCATTTTTGGACGCCCATCCTCAACACTTCGCCGAGTAGGAACCAAATCCTTAATCGTTGGGTTGGCTCCCAAAGGGCCGGAGAAGAGTAACAGAGATCTGAGCCAAGCACGTGAAATGCCTTACAAACCATCGCACCAAAAGTAACTTGACCTCTTCGATGCTGGTGGAGTTTGGCTGTTTACATACCAGGCAAGGTGTCCTTTCCTCATGCGTTTGCCTTCTGACCTTTCAGACCTTTCTGACCGTCTTTCGTGGTGCCTGTAACTCGCATCCAAGGGGTCGCGGTACGGCTCTCCAAGCCTGAGCACACCCAGTGGGAAAGATCGTCAGGAAGTGGTTGCGGGGGGCCCCTTTCTAGGAGCAAAAGGCACAAGAGAGCTCTGGCACTCTCAGCTCCGCGGGAAATGGCAACAAAGCAAATCAAGCGACGCGTATCAGTACTACTCTTTACTCCCGAACGGACCAGGTCTCCACCTGGCTCCACCTGGAGGACCTTCGGCCTCCCCACTTTCGCAAGGCCAAGCCCGCTTTGATCTCCGCATCCGCCTTGGCCAAGTCCTGGCAGGTGCGCCAAGGGTGGCGAAGCAGTCTGGCGGGAGGTCAGTGGGTCCAACCGGATAAAAAGAGTGGAGCACCAAAACACGCAACCTGGATCCGTGATTATGTACACAGCATAACTAGATAGATGCATACAGTATAGGGAAACAGGCGAATAGATAGGGTATCCCGTGACAGTTAACTAGGGCTAGGGCTCTTTCAATAGCGAGGATTGGTTTCGGAATGGTTAACTGAAGGATCGCCTGAATTGTTTTTTGGGGGAGCCTGACCCAAAAAAAAATTCAGAGAGGTAAAACAATTCTGAGGATCTTTATTCATCAACAGTCGACATTGCCGAAAAGCGGGTCATCTCATCTACAAAAACATCCCCACTTCACACAGCTATAGCCACCTCTGACTCGAGGGGGCACGAACTTATCTTCCCAACTTGCCCCGCCCTTCTCACTTATCTACATCTCTTCGATTTTTGTTTTCCTCCAGAAACACCCCATGATCATACATGAGCCTATGACCCTCCAGCGTAGCTGGCCCCAAACTCTCTCCTTGAAGGGAAAATGCAAGCTTTTGAGCGTAAAGCTGGTCAACCTCGGCGTGCTGGGCGAGGATCGAGGTCCGAGGTCCGACGGGAAAAAACGAGTGCCAAATGCGAGTCGCAGTCCCAGCGACGCAATGGATCCTGGATGACACAAGAAAACTAAAACCGGGCGGGCGCTTTTGTTAGATATAGTGTGGATATGTGTGGAGGATGGCCTAAGTGAGATCCGGGACAAAGTTCAACCCCTGAAGAACTGGCCCTGAAGGCTTGAAGACCTGAAGATGTCTCAGGATCATCCGTTCTGCTTCCGTCCAAGCCACGCCAGGATCGTAGGCACCACCGAGAACATGATCCTGGGCACACCGTGTTGACGCCTGGTGCCTCGGTGCCTCGAACCAAAGTGATGCCCTTGGCCCTGGAAGGGGAACGAAGAGGGGGGATTCCAACGAACACGGAAGGGATTCAACGAAGCTGCGTTCTTGTTTGGTTTTATGGAAGAGGGCGCCGTGAAGGTGCCCTGCGTTTGACGTGTGTTCCTCTGCAGTTGCTGGGCCTGTTCCAGATTTACATATCGGGCACCGACAAAAACTCCACCCAAATTGTCGCGGTCTGCGGATTAAAGATGATGTCCTGAAGAAGGAACAACACCATTAGTGTTACGGCGACTTCCCCTGGACTCCACATCGCCTCAATCATCCCTATACACTCCACATCACTCCACCAGTGACCCATAGCTGCCATAGCCCCTCCACCCGACTGCTCGCGCCCATCTCGCTCCGCCCAGCGTCCGGATACCCCACTGCACAGCGTCCGTCTGCGTCTGCAGCTCGCCCTGCACGGGGTCCCGGAAGCCCATCAAGGCCAGCAGCGTCAACGGGAAGGCGGACGCCGGGACGCTCACCACCTCGGCAGGCCGACATGCGGTGCCCAGCCGTCGTGGAGGGCCGTCGTGTGGCGAGCCGTCGGGCCGACAGCGAGGGTGTCGGAAGATCTGGAGGCGAACTGCAGGGTAGTGACTGCGAGTTCTTCGCAGTCAGAACGAGCGCCCAGCACGGATGATTCATGATTTGATCAACCCGGTTTATGGAGTTGATTGGTATATAACAGTTGGCACTCAAGCCGACTCAAGCCCATCAAACCTCTCAGAGAGTGGATCTTGGGTCCGGGACGACCTACAGAGCTTCGCGTTGAGGCAATCCTATCCTTCACAACGCGCCCCTTCGTGGGTTAGACAAAGCTTCACACACCTACGAACTCTCCACGATGGCTGCTCGGTCTTGCTGGGCAGGAAATGATGGTGGGGTCTGTTGTTTGAACCATGCTGATCTTGTTCTCGAACAGTGGGTAGCTGGGTGACTGAAGTTCACTCAAATCCAAGGCTTTGATCGACCAGCTCTGACATGCAAAGGCAGGGACCTCGACTACCCAAAAAATGACCCTCCATCTGCTCAACACACCTGTCTTTACCGCTTCTGTGCTTCGACATGCTTCGACCCACCTTAGGGATGAAGCTGGCGAACATCGTGAAGGTGGCCTCGCTGCGAGTCCCGGTGCGCAGCTCATCGTAGTCGATGACCAAGCCCAGGATGTTGTCCGTCAGGAAGCTAGCTCCTCGAGACGTGGGTTGAACGGCAGGAGCCACGGGAAGAGGATAGAACAGCTTGCAGGTGGGCTCGCTTGCCCAATCTCACCCGTGGAGGTCCTATGGGCGCCCCGTTCAGGATGGCAAAGAGGATCGTGAGGACAATGGCCACAGTGCTCGAGCGCCCCAAAATGAACCTCGAGTCGAAAAAAGAACGCTTCGAGGAGGACAAAGAACACCATCGAAACAGTTTCCTTCACGGCTTCAGAGAGTTGGAACCGAGAAACCTACCGAGGAACAAGCGGGCGAGGTTTCTCGCCTTGGGAGGGTTTTGGGGGCCCGCCACTTCAACGAAGATATAGTATCCTGCCGCCTCTCTCCAACCAAAAAGGGGTTCTTTGCGTCATGGAGGTCCAGTGAATGTTGCCCCCCCTCCGCTCGTCATGCTGACGAAATGGGCTAATTCGAGCTCCTTCGCAGTTGGCGAGAAATTACCAGTAGTTCTTTCGTCGCTCACCTGCCAAGTTCCACTTCCCTTGATCACTGTGATTCTCAACACATTTGTTTCCATCTGCGGGATGTGTCTGGGCTGGTTTAGCCCGTGACCGGTCAAAAACCTGGTCAAACAAGTGTCGAAAGCCATCCGTCCGTTTCAAACTTCCGGAGACTCTGCGGCACAAAAACAGCACCCTCACGACATGTCTTGCAGTGCAGCATGCCCTTGGAAGTGCTGTGTCTAATTCAGGGAATCGGGAACAAGAAATGTCAAAAATGTCTCGACGCTTCAATCAGAAGCTTCCTTAAAAAGAAATTCCCTGTGACCACTGTGGCTGGGGTTCAAGCACCCACAGCGCTGCCTTGCGCACAGCCAGTGCGCCAGTGGGTCAGGGCAGACTCTGGGAGACAAAAACGGAAACAAAAACTAGACTGAATTCATCACTGCACACAGACTCCACCGAATCGTACCCCCCCCGGTTTGGGGCGGCTTGACTCACGCCATACTGGATCGGGTTCGATCAGGCTCCGCTGAGCCAATCGCGCATGCCAAAGAGCGACCATTCCCCACGATGACGACGAACAATCTTTTTGAGGATTGGATGACTCTTTTCGATGATCTGCATGGCATGGTTCAACTCGCCCAAGTATGTCCTAGGACTTGTGGATCCAAAACACCGGGGCACCAGACCTTTCTTGGGTTCCACTTGGACACCTCAGGAGATGTTGACCAAAACCACCCTGGAAACACGAAACACGTATTGGTGCGAAAGAGGATCTCATGTGTGAGCCCGTTAGGGGCCGCAGCAGCATCCTGAGAGATGTACTCGGTGCGGGAGTTGAAGGAGTCTCGAAAGGGCAGCCGGTCAAAGAGCGGTTGCACGGGCAACTTGAAGTCCATTTCCATGGGAACCTCCTCTTCCTCAGGAAGCTCCTCGGGCTGCAGGCTAGGCTTGACATCAGTGAGAGAGGAACCCACTGCGCCGCCATGCTCACCCCTTGAAGTCCCGCTCTGACGGCTCATTGCAAAAATTGGCCGCTTGGCGGCTTCGGCAAAAACCTTGAGCCAAAAAGCTGGTGAGTGTAATCTGGTGGAATCGAAAGGTTTCCTTCTGGGTCATTTCAGCCAAGGTCCAAGGTAAGGGGGGTCTCATGAGAAAGAACAATTGCCAAATATTTTGTATGTATGTATGTATGTATGTATGTATGTATGTATGTATGTATGTATGTATGTATGTATGTATGTATGTATGTATGT